CCTTGTTTAGTGCTTGTAAAATTGTTCAGAGATTAGTGTTTGTTTAAGCAGATAATGGGGTTTAATTATTCAGAATTATATTTTTCTGCTGTTGTCTGACAGTTTCACAAATCAATTGATAACTGACCTAGAAAAGATGAAAAAATATTTGTTTTTGCCAACTTGTGAAAACTTCAACTTTATAATATACAACATTCTCAACCAAAAATTTACTTCAGTGTAGAAATTCAGAGTTGAAACAGCAAGATAATGTTTTCAGGTTGAGAAATCATTTAAAGATTTCTTGCGAAAGCTTTATGGTTTTAATTTGGTTTCGGATTATTGAACTTTTGTTGAGATGATGCATTTTTCCATCTAAAGTTCAATTTTCAAGAAAAAATTTTGTTCAGATTAAATTAATTGGATGATAGTAGATGAGGCAGACGATGAAAAAAAAAAATTTGAGATAGAAACTCAATATAATTCATTAGGAGTTTTGAGATAGTTTTGTTAAAATTCAGCTTATAAATTATATCTTGAGAGAAAATCCAACATAAAAAGGTAATGTTTGGAAATTTTGTAATCATTTAATATATTAGGTAAATTTATACAAAAACTCAGATATATTGAGAATTTTCTTGTGAACCAACTCTGACATCTTGTGGAAGATGATGCATGAAGCTGAATTAAAAATTTAGTTTCAAGATCTACTTTTCATTATTTTGGATAAAAAACGAAAAAAGTTTAATGTTGAAAGATTTTTAGAGAAAATAAAATGAAGCTTGCTGAAAATTTCTACAGACACTGATATTTTGGCAGAATCAGCCGTAGGATCTCCTAATTATATGAACTTTAACATGAAAACTAGAAAATTAGAAAATTACGTAGAACTATAGCTTTTTGCTTAATAAAAATGGCACCTTGATTTCCTTTTCTAAATCGACTTCTCTATGAAGCGTTCTTTTTGAAGCTTTTAGATGTTGCAGAAAAAAGGAACTAGGCCTAGTTGCGTATTTCTACTTCCAAAGATTTTCAGAATAAAAAATCAAGCTGCTCTTAAATTGTTCTAAAAACTCAACGTAAAAATACAGCTTTAACTTCTCAATTTTTACACGTACTTTTGAATGCTTTAACTAGCACCAATTCTTTCTCACTGAGACTTTTTGAAAACACTCTGGACACAAATCAAGAGTAAAAAGATATTTAATAACTGTTTTGCATCAGAGGTTATCAGTTCTAATTTTATCTCTGCCAGCAAATTGTTCGTTGAATTGAAACCATTCTCCTTCTAAGATCGCCACTCTCTTGCAAAGTGAATTCAATAGCAAAAACATGAAAAAAGCAGAAAGCAAGAATAACAAGATCAATTAGATCGGAAGCAACAAAAAACTAGCCCAAAACTTTGAGATTTCTGCAGTTCTTTCCAAAAATTTGCAATTTTTTCTGAAAACTTGATTTTTTTTCGAAATTTTTTTTAGGTTTCAGCATAGTCTCAGCTGGGTTCAGAACTTAATAATGAGTAAGATTATCTAATAAAACAGTTTTCAAGTCAAATTATATCAAATCTCATCGTGTTTTGAAGTTTTTTGAAAAAAATTTCAATTTTTCGGTTGAAAAATTCAAATCTTTGCCTATCTTACCATTGATTTACCTTAAACCAAAAAAACATAATACTTTTATTACACAATCTACAATAAGTACTCACCAACTACATAACGCGTGCTGACATTTTTGCGAAAAACTAGACATTTCCTTAAAAATCCAAAAATACTAATTTTTCCTAACATTTTCTTACCATCACACTGAAACCTTAGCATTCACTATCTTAATACATAGTGAAACCTATTCCCTATCTTAATAAGTTCTTAATTCCCTACACTGAATCCTTGAAATCTATACACTATCTTAAAACATGGTAAGATCGAGCAAAACATGGTAAAACATGGTAAAACATGGTAAGATCTTAATTCCCTACAATGAATTTGTAATAAATAGGGAAATATATACGCTCTCCTAATACATGGGCAACTCGGGCGACGAAAAAAACTTACCATCCGAAACTTACCATCTGGAGCCTTACCATCTTAAAACATTAGGAAAGCTATTTCCTATCTTAATACATATAAAATCTATTCACTATCTTAATACATAGGTTGGTGACCGGATGCTCTTTTCCCTATCTTAATACATGGGGGTCACCAGCCACCCCCCCCCTGATCGCCTCACACATTACGTAAGTTAATACGTAAGTGGTGTGGAGTAAAATTGAGTCATATAAAAAAAATTGAATGTATTAATTGAAAGAAAAAAATCAGGCGAAGTAAACTAATGTATGCATCTGGGTTTGTTTGTCTGTATGTATTTAATTAAGTGTAGATTTAAATGTAGGTATGTAAAATGCATGTATGTAAGTATATAAGTGAAGGAGTAAGTCAAAAAAATAATTAGTAAAGAAGTATGAAAGAAGATGAGTTTAATTTAAGTAATGAAAACTAAGGTAAAATAAAATGAAATGAAACAAAGTAGAATAACACAAAATAAAGTAAAATAAAGCAAGAAAACAATCAAGTAGGTTGAAAAAAAGTTAAACGAAAAGAAGTTCAATAAAACAGCAAAAGATGAAAAGTAAGATGATTAAAGTGACTAAGTGAGGCTGTAATTAAACAAAAAAAGGAAGTGGAGAATAAGTGAAAAAGTACAAAAAAAATTTAAAAAAAAGAAGTTATTAAATGATCCGTAGGAAATTAAGCAAGACCGCAAAATTCATTGAACTAATAGCGGCTCTAATCATTATTATCAAATCTGTGAAGCCGTTGTCAAAGCTGTGAACCACAAAAATACAACTGAAAAACTGCTTACAGATCGCAAATTTCTAATTAATCTCCTAGCAAGGGAAGATGTAAGTAAGCTAAAAAGTAAATAAAGAAGTTATTAAATGATCCGTAGGAACTTAAGCAAGTCAGCAAAATTCATTGAACTAATAGCAGCTCTAATCAAATTTATCAAATCTGTGAAGCCGTTGTCAAAAATACCACTGAAAAATTGCTTACAGATCTCAAATTTCTAAGTAATATCCCAGCAAGGGATGATGTAAGTTTATTCGAGATCGATGGTTTGTGAACAAATAGTGGTGTTGAAATGACTTGTGACTGCCAGTGAGTTCGAGACTGCTATTGTTTGAAAGGTAACTGCATAAAACTGTGCAGCTGAAATACGCACTGATAAACTTTTGGTTTTTTCAACTTAATGAGAAGACAGAAAATTATTCCGCTCAAATGGTCAGAAAGCTGTTGTTATAATTCCAGAGCCAGACATGACAGTACTTTACACACTCTTGATAAGTTCATGTTTTAATCCGGCTGCATCATGCAATGACAAAAGCTTGGAGTCAGTCAAATACTTTTCCAAGGAACAGTTGTTCATAGCAGTTAATCCGCCATTAGGTCTCAAGTTATTTAAAACAACGTAGTTAAGGTTAAAAAAACTAACAAAAAACAACAAATAGCGGGAAAAAATAGACTCGTCTAGTTTTCGGTGGTAAATAAGCAAAAAAACTACCGAATTTTCTTTTGTTTTTCTGAAATTGCGCCAAGTTTTACAAAAAAAAATGAGTTTGGGGATCTTTCTTTCCCCTATTCTTTTTACTTTTTCAGTTTTACACTCTTCCTTTCACCTCTCGAGAAACACGATATAGCGGTCATCTCCGATTTAGAATTTTGAATTTTCTGTATAGTTGAAAACCTTCTATATTGTAAAAGTTGATTATCAGTATCTTCATTACTCCCTCTTATTTCAATTTTCTTTCTGTGAAATTTGAAAAATTTATCATTTGCCATAGTTTTGCCAAGAAACGGTAACCGCCTTTGGAGAGTGATTTCAATTCACTGCCAGTTCACCATAAAATATAGCACAATTTGAGGAAATTGTTCACTGCTTTCAACAAATAAGGTACGCTGCCAAAATGGAGGCCGTTTTTTTTATATACCATAAAATTCAATTTCACTTACACCAACCAATTTCAACTGCGTCGAAAAAAATTTTGCCTGAAACAAATATTACAATTAAAATGATTCATATGTTTAACCAGGAACAAAAATCAGGACCCCAAAAGTTGGAATTAGGAAGAATTATGCATCGTGTCCCATGTTGTTAAGCTAGCTTAGCAAGATCCTAAGTTGGGGGTCTTCTTCTATTTCGTAGGAAAACTTTTCAGAACTACTGGTTTAAAAAAAAATATATAATCAGTTATAATCAATCAGACAATCATACTAGATTTAAGATTGAAACAAATCACCTTTATAGAAAAAAAGATGAATTATAGAAGACTAAAGTGGATTATGTTTTTTTTTTCAAATTTAATCAATAATAGTGAATTGAAAATCCATTACGTGGTTTCAGTTTATCACAAAAATCCATTATAAGGACACTATGGACAATTACATGGATTTTTAGCCAAGAGACGTCGATGTGGGGTGCAATTTGCACATATTGTTTGAAAAAACTTTATTTTTTCTTTTTTCCAAAAAATGTTACTGCCGCGAAGACTGTAACTTGTAGTGACTTTATTTAGTATGAACAATTTTTTTTACTAAATGAAGAAACCCAATTTCATCCCTTTTGCTATATAAATGTCTGTAAAGCAAAAAAAAGTAGACTGTAGTATTTGCTTATTTCACCATGACTGTCGAAGACGTCGAATAGCTATTTTTATCACACCACGCCGAAAAAAACGTGACTATGATGCAGCAATTATCATCATAAATTGCAAAAGCTTTCAGTTTGCATGCTTTGGAGGGCCTACACAAACCAAAACCTGCAAGGTATTCAAAGATGTAATCAAAAACAAAATTTTCTTTTGCACAAGTCACGACTACTTTGCCAATATCGGCTCCAAATTGATTAACAAAAGTAACTATTAGACTAGCAGGTCTTCTACCACACTGAAAATTTTGGCAAAACTTTTGGTCTTCTAATCTATATTTCTTAGCTCAATTTACAATTTTGAATTAGTAGTTCACAATGATTCCAACTTTACAGCTAATTTTGTGACAAACATTTCTAAACAATTCTGCTGCATTTTTAGGCCAGGTATATTTTCTTTGGCAAAAAATTTAAATTCAAAATAATAGCATGTCGTAACAGATAAAATTGTCGGCAAATTGCTCTTATGGAACAAAATTGACGTTTTATAGTTAGTTTTTCGGTTTTTGTGCTGGTTTTTGTGCAGTTCTTGAAAAATTCAGTGGAATAGTTGCGGGTTGTGCATGTTGCACTCTCTTGCAACATACGGAAGCACAGGATCCTTCTCCGATGACCTCTGGTTGAACAAGGGCACTCTACGGGTGGACTTCACTTGCAATCTTATGACGTCATTGATGTCTGTCTTGGGGTACAGACGCACAGTCCAGTCAACGAACAGATTTCCTTTGGTCCAAAGTGGGGAGACGTACAGCATCAAGTTCGGATCGCCCTCCAGTCCGAGGAACAACTAAACAGAAGAACAGCCGTGGATGAACTAAAAGGCAACAAAAAGAATGAAGTTGTAGGTACAGCGCGAGCACAACTCTATCGCAAAATCAGTCATGCGAGGCCGACGCTTGTTCTGCGAGCTATTTTACGCTTGATTGTTTGAGGCAAAATATTTAAAAATTTTAAGCAAGCCTGAAAAAGATATGATCATCTTATAGGTGCACCCCAGGGGCGGATCTAGACTTTTCTCGAGCTGGCGGATTTTCAATTTTGTAAACCTTTTTTTAGGTCGACAAAAATAATTTTCCGAGCTCTCCTAAAGTACTAAAAAGACCATGTTTTGGCCCAAATTTCTGCGCCGCAAGCAAAATTTTGAAAAAACAGACCAAAAATAGCGTTTTTAAGCACATTTTAGATACTTTTGACCAAAAAATTGCGTTTTTTCGGCGCGAGTTCCCCTAAAAATTAGTATTTATGGGCACCGAAGGCGCCTTTCAGAAAAATTTTAGGGTCCGTCAGCTAAAAATGGATATCTCAAAATAGTAAAAAGGGGTGACCTTTTGTACCCCCGGCCTCCCTCAATCTGCCACTGGTGCACCCTATATAAGCAAGGAAAAGTAAATTAGCTACTTCAGATACTTTGGCTCCCAAATAATACAACTAAACCAAAACTGCTCGTATCAGAGCGATACCCTGATCCGACGGCACTTTAAAAAATACGCAATAATTCATCTTTTTATAAAAAATCAAAAAATAGTAAAACTTCCAAGTAAATGAAAACAAAAAGTTATTTTTTGGCTACTTACTAAAAAGACAATGGGTCGTTGGTGGATCCTTTTGTTTCTCTTAGTAAGTAAAATAAAACATAAGTCTCCCACTAGATGAAATTATAGATCATAGTAGATTTGTTTCTATACTTGAAATATAACTATATAAACAGACAAATTGAAAGGGTTGATTAAATAAGTAGAAATGAGTTATAAATGGATGAACAACTGTCTTAAATACCAAAATAGGTTTAAGAAATTGAGGTTCAGCTATAAAATTTTCAGTTGAAGGAAAACATTAGAATCTTATTTTTGTCAGATCTGGAGTGTTATATTTTTCCAAAATAATTTTTTAAAGGAAAATTGTAATTTAAAATTTAGAAAATTAGTTCAACACTGAAGTTAGTGTAGAATTTGCAATACTACACTACATATTACAATTTTATAACAATTTTCCTCAAATCGCATTTGGAACGATTTCTGACCGTGGATAAAAATTCACTCAAATTTTACTACCCAAAACTGAAAGATTTCGCCGAAACATCGTCACAGATCAGATATTTGAAAATTTTAATTGTTCCGAATAATTGGGGAGTCGAACTTTGTATTTGGGTGTATTTAATATTTGTATTAAAGACTTTGCATTCAATATTTTCTTTTTTGTTTGTTTTGCTAGTGCAAATAATCATCGGCGAGAGCTATATGAATTATCATATTGAAGCCCAAACAGTAAGAAGCGACAATAAAAATTTTCAACCAAACACTACAGTTTCGAGAAAAATCGGTTTGAAAGTTTTAGTTTTGTATGATTTCGACCATATAAAATTAGCGAGTAAGCTTATAATAAAGGCTTATTTTAAACTTTTAAGTGTTTTAAAAGCGTACAATAGCTTGAATTAAATTGTAAAAACTCAAATTTGCGTGAAAAGCGTTAGTTTTTGAGTATTTTAGCGCCTTTTTTTAATCATTTTTTTCGAAGTTCAAAATACGGCAAAACAATAAAAAAACCTTTTCTTTTTTTCATTTCTGTAAAAAATTTTTTAGTAATTGATTTTGATTATGCTTATTTCACCATGACTGTTGAATGTGTCTAACCTCTAGTTTTTATTCAGCTCCTTTTATCACACTACGCCGAAAAAAAAATGAGACTAATTTGAAAAAAATGTTGTTGTTTTTTACGACTATGGTCGGAACATTCTGTGCTACTTGCACAGTAACCGGCTGTCCTTGTTTAGTTTGAACTAAGCACGTCAGTACTTTTTAGATGATATCAATATCACGTTCAAAAGTGGCTAGCTAAATAACCAAAAAATTTCGGAAGAAAAAACACATCGAGCAGCATCATTCTTCTTTTTTTTCATTTTTAACAATGTTGTTTCAACTTATTATCTAATCTGGAAGGTTTTGAGGTTTTGAACACAGGCTCAAAAGATTATTTTGTTTGTAATAGTTTTGAGTAAAGTTAAAACATTTTACAAACTAACAATTTGGAAATTTTGGGACAAATGCGCGACGGCGTTAATTTAAATTTTTTAATTTTAACTGAGGTAACCCACGTGACCGTACTAAAACGTAACTAGACGTTTGATGCATCAATTTTAGGTCTGCATCATTCGATTCCTAATACATCATTTTAATTTTTCAAAAAAAAAGCTTCAACGTTTTACCTTTTTCTTCTTAAAGCTTGTTTTTTTTCTGTTATACAGCCCAAAATTCAATTATTTGCTACATCAAAATTTTATCTTGATTTTTGAATTTTATTGGTTGAAATTAACAAAAGCGAAAAAAAATCTGACGCTTATTTTCGAACAGGAAGCGACTTAATAGCTTCAATGCTTTGGTAATTTTTGGCTGCATTAGAGAAAAGACCCGAAAATTTTATCAATTTTGTAGAACAAAAAATATGTTTCATCATAGAAGTTATTGATTACAGAAGATAAAGCTTTATTAATTTTGTAAAAGAAAAGTTAAGTTTCATAGAGGTTAATGGGCAGTCGGAACATTCAGGATTTTGCCTTGATACGTTCAGCCTTGTTATGCGTGACGATCCGCCAAATCAGTTCATCAAGGCCTTCCTTGGATGCCTTTAACTCTTTCCTAGATTCTTTAATTCAAATTCAGTCATAGCTTTAAGCGGGTCTAACCAACACTGGTGTCGACTTTCACTCAAATTTTAATTGGAGATTTTTGGTTAACCAAAAACGAACCATCAAAATCTTTCTTCGGTTCAACTAACTCACCATTATAAAATCATTTTAAGAGTGTCTTACGACATCTTACATCAATTCAACTGACTTTTACTTCTTAACAGAAGAACAAGTAAATCTCAAAATAATTTCTAACGGTCACTTTTCGACGAACTGATTTAAAATTCTATTCTGATTTTTCATAATCGAATCTTGACAACAAGTCATGGATCTCGAATGAGATAAAGGATTCTTAAACACATTCAAAGTGAAGGGTATAACAGTTCTAAGAATGATTCCTTATCAAATTTCGAAGCTGGTCCTGTTCCCGACTCTACAAGTTTTGTTGCGACTCTCGAAAAAAAAGACGCAATATTTGAGCTCGGGGTGTTTTTTTCTTCAGACAAAACTCGACATTTTAACGGAGAACTTTTGACGGATATTTTTTTTCATAATCAAAAAACTTTTGTGGTCTTGAGCTCAAACTTGAAAAAATATTTCATCTGTAATTATTTTGCGTAAAGCTATGGGGGTTTCAAGAATGCCAATTTGGTCTATTTGGGATAGCTCAAACTTGATAAAAAATATTTCACCTTTAATTATTTTGTGTACGGCTATGGGGCTTTCAAGATTGCTAATTTTTTTCTATTTGGGATAATTAACTCGCAATATTTTTCGTTCTATTAACGCGTAAGTGGAGATCTAGCCCGTCGTTGAAATTGTTCCAAATTGATTTAAGGCATGCCTCTTGGTCGATATAAAATAATATTTGCTAAGAATGCAATTCTATTGTACTTTTCATCAGTTGATTCCCCCCATTTGTACTGCTTTGAGATATCCTTTTTGGTTACGGACCTTAAAATTTTTCTAAAGGTTTTATGGCGCCAATATAAATAACTTTGAGGGGGGAGCGCGCATTTTTTTTTGTGTAAAGTTTCCAGAAAAGTGCTTAAAAAGCGTTTTTTTGGCCTGTTTTCTCGAAATTTTGGCCAATTTTTCTAAGAAAAAAAGTCGACAATATTTTTAAAAATCCGCACCCCCCCCCCTAAAAAAATCCTAGATCCGCCCCTGGATGAAACGGTAAAGATATATAATTTCATTGCTTGTGCTGTTTGGGCGTAGTATTTCGGACTAATTGTTCCGACTTTCGAAGGAAACGGAACATCTAAGCTCGGTGTGGTTTTTTTCTTCATTCAGTCAATTTTCGTTGATCGACATAAAAGTTTCAACAAATTTTTTTATAACCCATTAAAGATATCGACTTCCTGATATTGACTTCCTGAAATTGAAAAAGATATTTCACCTACGATTATTTTTGTAAAGTTATGGGGGTTTCAAAAATGCCAAATTGGCTTTGTTCTGGACTAAATTATGCGCTCCTTGAAGAATTTATTCATATTGCTGAGAGCGTAACGCGAATTATTCTTGCGTGGCGAATTATTCCGCACAACAAAATCGTTCCAAATTGAATTGAGGCTAGCTAATTAGTCGTATTAATTTCGTACGACTCAACATTTCACACTTTTATATTGTCCAAAATTTATAGGTTTTCATCTAGGTTATCTTTTTTTTTGCAGAAAATGATTCGATATGATTTAAGGGACAGTCGGAACATTCAGGGCTTTTTGTTACTCTTCAATTTATTTTAATTCCGTGATTTCACACGTGGTATTTGGTTAGTTTCAAATGCAACATTGGCGCAAGTACCGAAAAGTGTTAGTGCATTTCTTCGATTTTGCAATAAACGGAAATTTGTATTAGTATTCAATTAAGTCAGCTCCCTTGCGGTGCAAATTGTTCGATACAAGCCATGAAAGGTTCGTATGGGCCTTGCCACTATTTACGCGGGGATCAGTGTTTGCTTCGAGCCATTGCAGGTCGGCGCGGATAAAAAAAGTTTATTGGTTCGTCGATTTTTTTTGCTACACGGCCTATTGCACTTCAACAGTTACATGTGTACATGATGGAAAAAATTTGCAGCATGCTAATCTACGCACATGCTAACAGGCAGGTCCCGTACTTGTTATATATGAGCCAATTACAATTTATGGTCTATGGTTTTCATTAGGTGAAAATTCTTTAAATCAAAATTTTCAAGAATTATTTCTTGTTGAATTATTTCAACTAACTTTAGTGAGTGTCTCTCTAATTGATCCCCCAGTGGATGTGACCCCAATGTAGATGACCTCAATCTGACCCCATTTTCTGTACATTCCCAACCTGTACAACCCAGAGGCAAGGGGGGCTAGTTTGATTGCATCTCTCGCCCGAACCCAGCCCATAGCAATGAAAGAGAGAATAGAGAAGCCTGAAACAAATAAAACGCATTTTCTGAACCGAGGAAGAGACGTTTTAACTTTTCTGAAACGAGTAACTAGTTGGTTTCTTCACATTAAAAAATCATAAATAAAAATCTTTATTCTTTATGGTTAGATCTACATCAACAAAAACGGTTTATGCAAAACTTTAGGTTTGGTTTCAATCGGATAAAAACAAAAATATGGATTCTGATTCTCCAAATTGCTCTCAAATGGCACCTGCAAACAGGCTTGTAGCATTACGGTGACCATTCGAATCGCTTTTTTGTGCATTTTTAATAAATAATTTCTGTAATGTACCTGATTAGTGAAAGAATTATTTATTATTAGGAAACCCAAATACCCCCTTATTTGTTTTTGTTTATCAAAAGTTATAAGACAAATATAAAATTTTTTAGACCACTGAAAACCTGTAAAATTTTGATCATAATTTAAAGACATTTAGAATGAAAACTAACCTGTAACGGCCAATATAGAGAAATCAGTTAACAGTTGTATCGAAAAGGTAACCTCAAACTGGTATCTCTATTTTTTTTCAGTTTCTTTTTTAAAGCTGTGAAAATCCTTCATTGAAACAGGCTCAATTAAGAAATCAAGCTGTGTCGGTTTCCACCTCTTTTCCGAAAAAAAGTGAGATTTGAAGATTTAATGGACAACATGCAGCTAGTTTCCTGCGATGCGACTCTTTTCCAAAAAAAACAAATAAAATTAGCAGAATATTAGAGCCACATGTTGTAGAGATGCCTAGAGTTTAAAATTTAATGCAAGCATACACGTAGTTTTTTATTAAGAAAGCAAAGCTCAAAGTTTCCTAAATGAAAGGACTCAAATTTTCTGAAAGAACTGAGGCTCAAATTTTCTTTAAAAATTGTGATTTTTTTTCGTTGCGTTCCATGACTGCCAATATTTAAAACTAGAAGTAGAAGGAACTAAATATTCGACTCTGAGAACCTTGCCCATTGATGAAAAATGCGGGAAAAAGTTCGCGCTTCTATGATAATGTTTGGCACGAGGGAAAACTGGTGCATTATAATGTAGTTTTGCAAGAATATTGAGGTTTAGTTGAAATAAAATTTTACCCAGCAACAATTGTTGAGTTTTTGGGTTAGTCTCAAAACTGAGGCTCGCTGGCTTCTTAGAAGTCTTGAATTTTTTTCAGTCTCAGCTTGAGTCTCATAAAAAAAACTACGCCGTGTATATGAGTTAGGTTCTAGGTTTAACTCATAGAGTAATTTCGGACAGGGTACACCGTCTGCTCGTCACGCTATCTTATTTTCGGCCGGATAGATTCGTGCAACTTCTTAGTCTAACATCGATCCTAATCTTACTCTTATATCTACTAGTCTCAGGGTGTTTAACTAGTCTCTGCTAGGCTCAATAGATCTAGAGTATACTGGCTTATTGCGATTGCTAAAGTTCTCTGGGAGAGGTAACTAATTTCTAAGTTAAATTCAAATCTCTCTGGTGCTGAAATTACAAGTAATTTCAGCACTTACAAATAAGTGGTTTGTTAGTTAGATGGATCGTGATTGGTTAAGGTTAAATATTTTATAGAGATAAAATATCCAATTTATAACCAAAGAACAAATATAGTTTATATCTGGTTCCACCCATCCGGGGTTTACAGAGTTTTGAATCTTTAGGTCTTCTATCTGTAATGAAGGATGGAGGTTTGTCGTTGTTGTTTGACGAGCATCTTTTCCTGTTTTGTTCTTGGAGAAGAAAGTTCCAGGAAGCTGGAGTCATCGATAGGAAGTTATTAGTTATCGTTTGACAAAGACTTTGACTGTCAAGGAAATCAATCTGATTTCAAGATGGTTTGTTATGATCGTATGTTCTTGATTGGTTGTGGAGAACTGTGTTTCGATCTGGTTTGGGAATGGCGTGGAGATCGTGTTTGGAGGGGATGCCTTGTAACTCGGATCTGTACGTATACTTGAACATCGAGGTGGTCAATGGTCTGATTCAATGAAGTCCTTTTCTGCGAAGTCAAGTCGTACTCTAAATCCTTTATGAGTCGTGATTGTGAGCGGCATGTCAGTTGTATTTAGCCATTCTGTAGGTTGAGTGTAATGGGGTCGTCTAGTTTTTGGATGCTCGTTCTTGTGGTTGTTCGTGATCTATGTACTGCATATTATAATTTACATTCTATAAAATTTTGTTAGTCCTGTTTTTTAGTAATGATTTTGATTAATTGTTTTCGCAAAAGCGTTTTAGTTTTAGTTCAGTTATTTTTAAGAGTTACTCACACTTGAGTACCTCTTGGCAAAAATTGTGATGGGGTCACAAAGCGCGGATGTAGCACGGTGGGTTAGGCCGGCTATAGAGCATGCTCAGGACGTCCTCTCTGATGGGTTAGGCCAGGAAGGGGAGTATGATTTCGTGCTGGTTTTTTAAGGGTCCTGTTTTGTGTTAACCTTTTTGTTATATTATTTATTTGTTTTCCTTTTGTTTCGTTGGTTTTGTCCTTTTCTCAAAAATCAAATTGTTTTTGGTTTGGGTTTGTCTTGCGACTTTTTGGTGTTTTATTGTTTCTTTTTCAGACTTGGTAATAGTCTTCAAAAGAATAAATTATCCAGTTTTAAGCTGGTTTAATCCGGTTTGGGTACTGTGGGTTTTCTTTTTTTATTCACGCTGTTAGTTTATGGTTTATGGTGTTTAGTAAGCTGCGTTGGTTAGCTTGGTTATTATATAATTCCATTCCAACCGGGTTAAAGGAAAAGTGGAAACTTTTTATTGCTTGTTTGAGTTGTTGTTAGTGCAATTTTAAAACTTGAAATCATTATTTTAAACAATTCTTCGTGCGCGAGCTGTGCGATTGTGGATAGAATTTCTGTGCGTTTGAACAGAAGTTATACAAAAAGTTAGTACTGCATTTCATTTGTATGAATTTACTGCTTTTAGACTAAATTTTACTGCTTTTGGGATTGAAAAGTTTAAATTGATTTTCATCGTATTTAATTTTACTACATTTGGGGAAAGAGTTTATAAATTAATTTAATATTTTGAATTGACTTTTTTTGCATCATTTAGTGCTATTGGTTTAATAAAGCTTTAAATGGAAAATAGAGTTTATATTTTTATTTGTCTTTTCTTGTTTTGAAGGTGATCATGGTGTGAAGACTAAAGCAAATGCAAATTACTGAATAAAATGGTTGGTTTCAATTTTGAATTAGTTAGTTTAGAATTTATTAAATTCATGGTTACCTTTAGTCGTCGGGGAAAAAGCCGTGTGGAAAAATGTCGTGAATGGCGTCTGAGGTAGTTAGTAGTTTTGCTAGTATGCGTATTATGTTTTTGGTTTGCAACAGTGGCCAAAGCAATTGCAGTGCTTCGATGGTTTTTAGTTCTTCGGTGCCTACTGTAAATTCATGAGGTGTTCTGGATTAGATTATAAATTTTATGATTATATTTAGTATTGTGGATGAATTCTAAAATGGGTACTTCTATAGGTTGAATATATTCATGCGGAATGATCAGGGGTCGGGATTTTTTGTCGTTGAAGGTCTTCGTGAGGGGACAAAATATATACATTTGAGTGATGGGATCATAATTTCTGAGGATGCCTTGAAAATTAGTATTTTTAATGCAATACGTGAAGTTTAGGAAAAACGGTGAGCTGTATTTGGAATTATTGAATTGAAATCTGTGGTGAGGTTGTCGTGATGGTATGTGTAAATGAAAATGATTTTGGATAAAGCGATAGTAAGTATAAGCGATGTGTTTGCTTAGTTCTCAACATGATATCGTGTGAGCTGTGCAAATCGCGTTCTTTTGGTGTCAGGAAGTGAAAAGTTTATGAAAAAATTTGAAATTTTTCGTGAAATGATTCATATGCTTGGATGTTTGAGAGTGTTTCTGAAATAATGTGATCATGCTTTTTATCAAGGATTTTAAGTGTGAATATGTATGATGATTTAATAAAAAACTTTTCTGTGATTTGTGGATTAGTGAATTTATCGTCGTCAAGAAATTGGTCTTGATTTGATCGGATGATGTTATGATCGTAATATTCAATTGAGTAGTCGTTAGCGCGGGTGCAGTGAATGTTTTAAGTAATTTTGTATATCCTACGTATGTAAATTGTCGGGGGGTAAGTGCTGTGGTTAATCTGAATAATTCGTCTTTATTTCTTTCAATATCGGTAGTGGTGTTATAGAGTGGTAGCGTAAGGGGGTTAGTGAAATTATAATAAGCTGTCCAATGAAGTGTGGGTATTAATACACGTTCATCTACAAAGTGACGTGGTTCAGGGTAAGGGTCGGATTGATTTAGGGTATATTGGGGAAATAAAGGTAGGGTTATTTGGAGAAAATTCGTCGTATGGGTGTGGTCTGGATAAATTCTCGGGCGGTTCCGGGTTTGGATGGAAATGGGTGATTTGATAATTTACGTTTAAAAAGTCTATAAGCACGGTTAGTACTATTGAATGATTCTGTTGAAGTGGATGAATGAGCTAATGATGGAGTATAATCTGAAATTGGTGTAGGTGTTGGAGGATTTGATGTTTTTGTTGATGATAATTGGTTAATAGTTAGGGTGTGGGGAGATAGCAATTGTTGTTGGAGTGTTATAAAATTATCTAGTTCTTCGGAAATTTCGACTTTATCTGGGGAGTTGTTGGTGGAGCGGTCATTATTGAATGGGGAGTAGGTTGGGGTTACTTGAGAAAGAGTGTAGGGGTATGCATGTTGGCTATGGGATTGTATAGGTTGGAAAAGGGGTTTTGAGACGGTTGTTGAGCTGGTCGGGGTATGTGTAGAAGGGGATGGCTCTGAATCGGCGAATTCGTCGGGGGTTTCAATATCAGAATTATTGAATTGTGAAATTGTTGTATAAATTGTCATATCCGAGTTAGTGTCAGAATTCATGCCTGATGATGTGTTAGCTTGTGGCGAATCAAGTGGCGGAAAAGCAAAAAGTGGGATAATAGGGAGTGGATTTTGGAGTTTGGCTGGGTGGGAGTTTCATCGGTGGAGTGATCCAATTT